AGATAAAGTTTTTCTTGCTCTCTTCATTGCTTTCCATTCATCAACATTTCTTAATTGTTTCCTTTGCTCTTTTCTTGTAGGTTTCTCTGCAGGTTGTCGTACGATTTCCTTCTGATTAATAGCTAGATTAATTTGTACCATTTCCGTTGAAGTTTGTTCTTCGGGATCTGATTCTTCCTCACTACAAACGTAATCAGGATCTGCGTCGCTGTCATCAAATTGCTCATATTCCAAATCATTTTGATTGTGGGCCGCTTCTAAAACAATTATTGTTAGTTAAGTTACAATAAACAGTTTAATAGTTTTATGCAAGTTAGGGAATAAACGTACACATTCAGATATTCATAAAGACATTGTGTCCGTTAGAGTTATTGTGAGCGTTTAATCTCAAGGTCTTTGCTGAACAATAATTTTATATGAATTATATTAGAAACTTCAACTTACCATTCATCACATTATCGGCTATCTTGACATCGTTGACAATAATTATTTTTGGTGTATTTGTAGAGACCGGGATAGGGCCTAGGGCACAGTTAACTGAGGTATTTCCTAAAATTAATAATTACTTTGGGGTAAACAGTTGTATGTCCAAGGTAGGATTCAAATTATATGATTATAATCGTTTTATTTATGTATTATTTATTAAGAGTATATAACATCTTTCTTTTTTAGTTTTTATCTCTGTAAATTATTTCCTAACTAGTACATTTTCATTATTGTTGTAACTCTAACCTCAAAAATTTATTATTTGTTACATTTCTTAGTAACTTTAAATATTGTACTTACCACAGCTATTATCGTCTCCCATCACTTGCATCGCCATTTTCATAATTTTTTCTCCTCTACTCATCCTTGTATTTGGTTTATATTAAAAAAAAACAGTATTAAGAGCACAAAACGAGACAAGTTGCCCATGCGATTGTTTACCATTACTGAAATTAGACGGCAACACTTATTACACTAACGCTTAAGGAGATACTATTGTTTACCTCGTGTCGATATGGACACAATACTGTTTCTAACACGACTAGCTGAGAAACCATCACAGTTACGCTTACTATGTTTTACCACAACAAAATTTTAAGTTTTCTGAGTGGTAAAATGAAATAATCTACAAATTGCCCAAATATGGAGATACGACAGTTTACCTCTGTGCTACTGATATATATATAATATATATATATATATATATATATATATATATATATATATATATATATATATATATATTATATATACAGATTGTCCAAAAACTTGTTTGGTTAAAATAAATTGAATTATTATCTTTTAAATTATATTTTTGTGTTTCTAACTTTTCTATAATATCTTCAGTTTTTCTAAGGTTAATTGTATGTAGATTAATTGGTGAAAAATTGAACTTTCATATTGAAAAATATTAATAGAAGGAATAACTTTTGGAAGATTTATGTGAGCAAGGTGACTTTTACTAATTTTTTCTGTTTGGAAGATTTCATTCTTGATTTTCACGGTACATTCGGGAACTGATTCTAAAACATAGCTTCCATGTATTGGTAAGTTTTCTTTTGAGTTTTGGCACTCGATAATTACTAATTCTTGTAGATTCTATCTTTACTTCGAAGTGTTCACATGACAATACCTTTTTCTTGAAATTTATTAATTGGACTGCACAAGAGGGTTCTTCAGTTATGGTTAGTTTATTACTTCCTTTACATATGTACTATTCTGAGTCTATTTCTGTGCATAATATCTTCCATGTAAAAGACATAGCTAAATTCATTAAGTGCAGGAAAGGTTTGTAAGGTAAATGAATAAGATAATTTGAGTTATTCATAGGAATAGGAATAGGAAATAGTTGGCAATAATCATATATTTCCGATTCAACTAATGGAATCTCTAATACAAATGTAATTATAGAATTTACTGAATAGCTCTTAATATTTATTATTTCCTCGTACTGAATTATTTTTCCTAGTGTAGTATCAAAAGGCATTAATTTTGACTTTGAGATTTTGCTTTCTTTATTTCATTTAAAAGTTCAGTTCCTATATAATTGTGCGAGGTATTTATTTTGGCAAATGAGATTGCAGTTTATACTTTTTAAAAATATCAGAAATTGTTTGATAAAGTAAAGTAATTTGATTTATTACCTTAAATGACTGAATATGTGTGAATATGTAAGATACCCAGTTGCCAGCATGTACTCAGTTATTTGCATCAGTGTAATTATTTGTGATTTATAAGTATTTCTGTAATATTGAAATCATAGTGTGTCCACTCGATAATAGATATGGCACCATCTGATTTTTATAGCGCCAAATTTAGAAATTAAACTGTCATAAGGTATGATGAAAATTGATTATATTATTTGTATACTTTATTTCACTAGTTCCCAACCTTTTTCCCATGATCGCCCTCTTAAACAGGTTTCACCAGTTATGAATACTACAATCGCCCCCCTCTCCCCGGTCTCATGTAAATTAAAACATAATTGATCTATACAAATATCCCATAATGAATCTATACAAAAGGTAAGTATCCATATTTATTTATTTTTACATTTCGTAAAATGATAAATGATATGTGTGTAAAAAAATTGTTAATGGCTTCCTTGGGCCTGGTGTTCCTTACATAATTTCTTTATGTCTGGCTCAATGTTGGTTAATAACAACCTCAAAGTCCCTCTTTCTATTATGTCGAGCCTATTTCTTTGTTTGTTTTTCAATATACACACAGAACTAATCCTTTCTCCACTAGGTATGTTGTGGGGAATGCTAACAATAATAATTTGATTTCATTCCACAAGATTGGATACACTTCTTTTATCCTTGGCCAAAATCTTTCATACCCACACTCCCGAAACAAACTTTTAATTTCAACATCATATTTCGAATCAATCAAGTTTTCTTGAAGAGGACATACAAACAGACTAGTCAAATCTTGGAATCGGGACTGCAGATCTTCTTTCAGTGTTTGAAGGTGGAGGCAGTATGTTTGAAGATCCTCAGAATCACCACAAGAAGATTTCAAGTTGGGGAATTTGGTCAAATTTCTTCTCTGTATATTTTCTTCAAAAATAGATAGTTTGTCAATAAATTCTCCGACTATTCCTTTCATTTTGGCCATATTTATGTTCTTCCCCTGTAGTAGCAGGTTCATTTCATTTAATTTTTGAAAAATATTTGATAAGTAAGCGATGTTATTTCGCTTCTCTTGTAGTTCTGTACTCAGTGTGGGGTCAGTGGTATAAAGAAATTGAATAACAGTATCCATGAGACTAGAGAACCGCTGTAAACAATTGCCTTTAGAAAGTCAGCGGACTTCCGTATGTAGTAGCAATGTATTAAATATCTCATCATTTTCTTCACAGAGTGTACGAAATATTAGATAATTCTTTGGTTTTGCTTTAATTTTATTTACCGAATCTATGACAAGTCGAAGAGAATCGTGCAACCTTCCACTCAAATTATTGGCAGTCAAATGCTCTCTGTGAATGACGCAGTGAACACACAAAATTCCAGGTACTGCTTGTTTCAGATGTGCAATAAATCCTTGATGGCATCCTGTCAGTAGCACAGGCGATCATATTTGATAAGGGAATCTCTTCTTCCTCAAAAATCTCGTTAACAACCTCAAATATGAAAGATCATTTTGTATCAGTAATCAGACTTCTAGCAAACAGCATTTCCTCGGCCATTTCTCCATTGCCGTCAATGAATCGGACATATGACAGCAGCAAACTGTGCAGTCATTCAGAGTACTCTCTTCAAGTTGCATAGTAAACGGTATGCTTTTCAATTTGTTGCAGAGAACATCTTCGACATTCGCTCCCATTTCATCAATCCTTCTGGATACACTATTATTGCTGAGAGGAACTGCATCTGTTACTTGGCTGGTCTGACTGGGTCCCAACATAGTATCAACTATCTCTTTGATAGCTGGGAGGATGAGTTCTTCTCCAATTGTATCCGGTTTGGCACTTTTTGCTATTAACAATGATTCCTTGTAGGAAGGTTATGTCCGAATTGAAAGACACACTTAACAATTTCACAAATAAATTACAGTATCTTAAATTAACAACTCACTAAACACAATGACTCAGTTGAAACAAAAAAAAAACTTTATATACCACAATACAAAACTCGGGAACGAAAGACTGCGCATTTGAGGCGAGGACAACCTTATCCATTCGCTTTTTGTTCGAGTCAGATCGGCAGGAGCGGTACTTACTTCTCATCATTCTTATCGCACTTCTCTCTTGTTCTCTTTTGTGCGGAAAATAGTTCAATACGAAAGCTCGATCAAAGGAAAATGCAGAATTCGTTATAATGTATAATTATAACGAAAATGTATAGAATTAAATTGTATTATGATTCATAGCTCTCTGTGACTAGACGAGATGCTTGTGTTATTATTACCTGCATTGGTATACATATATTTACTTTCTATTATCCTATGGATATCCGATCGAAAGTATTGTATTATTTTCTCTTTTCTTATTTTTCTCAATTACCCATTTCTCGTTTTCCGGAAGCTAAACGCCCCCCTTATCACCCCTTTTTCTCTGTCGCCCCCCATATCGCCCCCTGAACATTTCAAATCGCCACCACCCGCCACCCGGGAGGCAATCGCCCCCCGGTTGGGAATCACTGCTTTAGTTAATGAATCTGTATGATTTAAGTATTATATTAGCTATTCCAACATAAAAATTAAATATTATATCTGTAAAAAACAAAATTTTGATAGTGCCAGTTACTGGGTTTTAAAATTTGTCTATATCTAGTAATTGGCACCAAGGCCAATCTTTGGTCTGAAGTAAATTTTTATTATGCTAGTAATTGACAGTTATCTTAATTTTGCAAAAATAGTTTTTCGATTTTGAAAAGTAGAAATCAGTACGCTAATAAATAATATTAAATTTTATTTTAATATTCTATATAATATAGGAATTTATTTTTATCAAAAAATATGTTTTGAGCTTTTTTAAAAACATTTTAGAGAACTTTTCTTTTCTCTTGTAGATTGTTCGATAATGCCCAAGATAAAGGCAAATGGTAAATATGTTAAATCATATGATGAAAGTATATTGCAAAATGCTTAAGATTAATAATGGAATGTCTAAAAAGCAAGCGGCCGAAAAGTTTAATATACCGAGACAAACTTTGCAGTATTGTCTTCTTCTTCTTATGGTGCCCTATCCAATTAGTGGATGGTAGCGACAATTCTGGCATACTCCTCTCGATCTTGTGTGACTCTAAAGAGTGCATGGGCATCGAGGTTTGTCCAATCCGATGTTTTAAGTCATGAGTATTTCATTCTTCCGATGCCTCGTTTTCCTTCTTACTTCCCTTCCATAATAAGCTTTAAGAACTGGTACTTGGAATTTTGAAATATATGACTCAGATAAGCAGTTTTCTTGTTTTTATTATTGGCAGCAATTCTCGTTATCTGGCCATTCGATTTAATACTTCGACATTTGTTGTGTGGTCTATCCAGGGAGTTTTAAGTAGTCTTTTAGCATCGACCATCAACAAATACTTACCGATGAAAAGATGTTTTCTCCTTTCTTGTTTTGTGGGAAAGGCCACAAGCAATACAGCTTACCATGGTGATAATTTTTTATAATATATTTTATATTCCAAAAACTATATATATTTTAAAGATATTACAAACACTTAAAAAAGTTCCAAACACTTAAAATACTTTTTTAACACTAGCACACAATAAAGTTTTAATTAAATAATAACGATAATAGTCTAAAATGTGAAACAATAGTTAAAAAAACTTCAATAGAAAATATAAATAAGATTTCATGTGACAGTTGGGACAAACAATAACATCAGGAATAACATAACCCAACTAAATTTGATTTCTTAAACAAGGAAAGGGACTCTCTTTCCTTGTTTAATGTGGCCTCTCAAGATGGCACTTCCTGTCTAACAATATTTTTGTCCCCACTACCTTTAAATTCGCTCTTTTGTCTTTTTGCTCGATGGTATTGTCTAAGCAATAAATTTTAAAAGCCAGGACATGAACCAACTTCTTACCTGACCTCGGAAGAAGAAAATAGTTTGACAGGGTGGATTCTAGAAAGTCATAAAAAAGGTTTGTCCCAAGAATCCTAGACAAACTCCCTTTCAGAATAACATTCCTGGAAATCACTGGTCTCAGTGTTTTATGAAATGGCATCCTTGTTTAGTATCTCGTGTTCCTGAAGCAGTTATCAGTGAAAAAGCGTAAATGTATCATAATCTGACTTAAGGAAGTGGTTTTCGAATATAGAGTCTTATCTAAAAGAAAAATCATATTTCGAAATACTTAACGACCCATCAAGAATATTCCATGCAGATGAGATGTGCTTCTTATTTTGTCCAAGGGCAGATAAAGTAATTGCAACTCTATGAACGGAAAATGTTTCCAAGTAGACCAAGGCGCTGCAAAAGAAAATTTAACCGTTTTATTTACTTTTTCGGCTTCTGGTTTAATAATTCCACCTATGATTATTTATCCATATAAAAGGTTACCAAGTAATAAAGTCATTAGCGTTCCAGAAGATTGGGAAATCGGCGTTAGTGATAATGGCTGGATTAAGGCCGAACTTTTCTATGAGTATGTGTCTAATATTTTTATTAAGTTTTGGGCCCAAAACAATATTAAAAACCTATTATTTTATTTGTTGATGGGCACAAAACTCACCTCACTTATGAATTGAGTCAGCTGTGTACCAATCTATAAATTATTCTTATTTGTATCATGTTTTAAACTATTAAAGAATAGTTGGAAGAAGGCTATTTTAGAATGGCGAAGAGAAAAACCATTTGTACAATTAACAAAACAAGAGTTTGCGCTTATTTTACAAGAGGCTATAAAGAAATTAAAAACTCCCACAATTTCTAGTGGATTCAAAGCGCGCGGCCTTTTTTCATGGAGCAGCAGTCAATTTATTTTACAGACTTCAACGCTTAAAGAAAAGTGTGATTTATCTTATGTGGATTTTTACGAAATAGGTTCAAAAAACTTCAAGAATTGAAAGATTATACTGATGCAAAAACTGATGATTTATTGCTATTCCCGGAACTTCAGCTCAAGCTTACCCATATGAAAGTTTACTTGACTTGATTGTAATAATTATGAAGATATTACTGATACAAATGAGACTGATTTTGTAGTAGAGTATTCTAATAAGAATAATAATAATTAACGAAACTGTGTGTCAAATACTAGGTCGAGCATAGAATATAAAGATTACACAATGTGACCAAAAACTCCTGAAGAAAAAGGAACTCCCAAAAACTCCTTGATTATGTGAACTATTATTTATAGCATTATTAAAAGTATTTATAGAATTTTGCAATAAAGATAGTTGTCTTAGGGAATTGACTTTTATGTTATTTTGATTATCTTTTAATTGTTTCATTTCGTTTTCTATTCTTTGTGCGTCTTTTTGGTCCATATTTCCTGTGATACGTTTTATTATTGTTCCTAGAGGATTTAGAAGTCATCTTTTTATTCTCTTTTCTTCCTTATACAATGGTGGATTAATTTGATATATCTGTTCTTCTATTTTATTCTGTAACGTAGTTAAACGGATGAATGATTTTTCTAATTCTAGATTTAGTCAGTTAGCTTCAGTTTTCAATAAATAATGTCTGTATGTCCCGATACTAATTCGAAAGGTGTATGGCCAGTTGTTGTGTATATAGTACTATTATAGGCAATAAGAGCATAAGGCATATTGTAAATATTATCTGCATCTTTATCTTTTTCTTTTTGCAATCTTAGGTGCTCAGTTAAGGTATAATGAAATCTTTCTACCGGGGAATTGGATTCGTGATGATATGGAGTAGTAAAATGTATTTTATTTGATGCGTTTTTAGTAATTCATCTAAAACGTCATTTTTGAATTCTATCGAAAGTGCCACCCAATGGGACTACTAAATACGTACTGCTAATACTCTAAGCGAGGCAATATTTATATTATTTATAAAAGTTACATGTCGAATGCAATAAAAGGGATGATTTCTAGATCAAAAGGAAACTCGATATAACCTAACTTAACCTTATTTTATTTTATATGTAAGATTAAATTTAAACCTATGTAATTTTTTTTAATACGTTATTATATGTTTTTATCCAAAAAGAAGTAGTAAGTTTATCTAATTGGTAGAGATATATTTTTATGTCCACTATTAGGTTTAATCACATACGTTTGCTATAAGTAACAGAATCAGTTTTATGATCCATGACAGCAATCTTAATCTAACCTAACCTCAATGTACTTCAATTCAAATTATTTCTCAAAATAATTTCTTTACAAGCTTATCTTTGTACGCCTGCGTAAAAACACTCGTTCTGGTGGAAATAATAATGTATTTGGGCAAACAAAAAGGATAATATAACATATATAAGAAATATGAGGGCATACATTTTATCTTGTCTTCACTTCACTTTGTATCAACATTCTTGCTTGAATAATCCAAGTACTAAGACAATCCCTTACCGCCTTACTTATGTCTTATATCATGAGTCCCTGCTCATACCTCTTTGTATATACCTACTGACTTAGAAAAAATGCGATATTGTGGAAACATAAAATTTTTGAAAATAGCGATTATAAATTGTAAAAGTAGAAATAAATTAGAAATAAACTGGTTTACTCATTATCAATGTTTTATACAAGAATAGACTTACCCTTTGGTTTTATTGATGAATTCGTACCAGGCTGAAGAGTCGGTCGGTGGTACCGACGCTGGCGTCGCCGTCGCGAGGCTTAGCACGAGAACCGTCCGGAACTATATGCGTGTCGATCGATCGTTGTCTGACGAAGAAGTGGCAGTTGAGAATACGTTGATATGGTCAGAGCTATGAAGAAACCCTCTACTAAGCGGTGGTCCCAGAGGGTGTACCAATAAATCATTCCATTGTATTGCGACCTTTCCGATAATTTTAGCTAATTGTGACGGTAACACGACACTTGTGTGTATATTTTTGAACAATACAAAAGAGAAGCCAAATTCTCCGTATTCACAACATCATAAATGAGATATCCAGTTTAAGTTTTATGAGACAACAGGAAACAATATATTTCAAAAAGGTCTTTTAAAATACAGCACCTAATTAGATCATGTTACAGTACCGTAACAGCAAAAATATTAACTGTAAAAATATAAAATGAATGCGCAAATACTTTCTCAAACATTTTATATATATTTTGATTAATACATGCATTAATTATACATATATATTATATTACATTTATGAATTATTGTTCTGCATTTTTTACATTGTTTTTATGCTAATTTTTGTGAATTATTTATTGTTTTACTTGTATCATACTTTCCACACATTCGATCCACTTTCGATTTTTCTTCGTTACTTACCTTTTTTTGATTGATATTCTCACTTGTTTGCAATTGATTTTGTTTAAAACCGTTCGCTTTTTTAAATGTAGATATTCTCTTCGTGTTGATTTGTTAATTTATTCTTGCATTGTCTTCTCTTTTGTGCTCGTATCATACAATGCTCAACAAAATGAACAAATCCATCTTTTCGCGCCATACTCGGCATTCTCTAGATTCAGGGAGGCCTATAAAATGCATTCAATTATCAAAACCACACACCTTCATTATTATTCGTAGCCAGGGTAGATTTTCATGAAGCTTACAACTTTGTTTCGATTTAATTTGTTGTCTTCTTCTACTCGCTTTCGATTATCGCTGTCTTATTTCAATATTTCGATAAAATATACGTTACCTGTGGTTTCGTTAGTGCTACAGAGGTAGCTCTAAGGTAACTAATCAAGCTGTTAAATGTGCTTTGTGTTCTGTTTCTCATCATTGGTATAAATGTTCGTTATTTTTGGGACTAAATGGCTTCAAGAACTTTTCTCGTTGGTTAACTCCATAATTCTTATGCAGCCTGATTCCGCCTCATTCGAAACGACGAACACGGTTTTGCGAATCACGGCCTCGCGTTTTGCTTCGTTTGTTAACCAACCGTCAAATTTATCTTGTTCCTTTAGACAATCACTTCTTTAAATACCAACATTTCTATTTTGCTACACAACCACATTTACTATCCTCGTCTATTTCTTTCCATATAGTTGATACATATCAAATATATTTTCGCATCTTTCTTATAATTCGTATCTTGCACGATACAGGCTTCACAGCCAATTTTATATCAGTGATCTACCAAATCACGCATTTTGTAATCGGACCTTATAGACATACCCATAGGGGTTGAATTGGTTCTTCATTTCGTACATTCTGGTCAGAATTATTGGCGAACCAAATCATACTGTGGCCTTAGAAATCATTTTCAATTATGTTTCATAAGGGCGAGTCTCTAAGACTCATTCTATATTTTATGCATATCTTTCGCTACTTCTATGTATACAAACATAGATATGTACTACAAAGGTTTTGGGAAGCAGAAAACAGTAATCGCCTGTTAGTTTTATCCCAACACGACCAAGCTCGTGAAGGATATTTCTAAGTTGTGGATTTTCTCAGTAGGCACCTGTTAGTTTTGTCCCAACACGACCCAGCTCGTGAAGGATATTTCTAAGTGGTTGATTTTCTTAGTAGGCACCTGTTAGTTTTGTCCCAACACGACCCAGCTCGTGAAGGATATCTCTAAGTTGTGGATTTTCTGAAAGTTAACAAGCCTATTTTCTGTTATTCCACCGTTTTTACAACACAATGCTCTTTATTTATCTTTTTCTCTTGTTTATATTCGCTACTTATTCGTTATTCTTATGCATACCTTCGTTTTGTATGCTAGAGAATCGCTTCAGGAAACTCCCGAATCTCAAAGAGACATATGTTGCATTCATGGAGGATTGTATTACTTCTCAACATATGATGCCGGTTCCTGAATTCGATTTTAAATCGACTATTTCTTATAACTCTCACACCGTTTTCAAAAAACAAATTTTTATTTCGCTTCTTTTATCCAAAATTCGTACTAGCTTCGACGCTAATCGACACATTTGATACTGATCCTAAAAGGGCATCTGGTTCTTTACTTAATTTTCGATATCTTCGTTGTTGTTTTATTTGCGATATAAGGCAAACGTATCGACAAATTAAAGCAAATAAGGAATTTTGGAACTATAAAAGGGGGTCCTCTGGAGATCGGACTTTTAAACCTCTCCAAGAGTTGTTATTACGTATCGTTACTTACGGTACTTCTTTGTTTTATTTCGCTTAAAGGCTCTACAAGAGTAACGCTTTGTGTACGCAGCCTGATTCCCACCTAATTCGGAACGACGAACACGGTTTGCGAATCACGGCCTCGCGTTTTGTTTCGCTTACAAACTCTACAAGAGTAACGCTTAGTTTTTATTGCTCAATGGTTTTCGCTAGGCAGTGGGCCAGCAGCCATCTCGACGGACCTACGTCATAATCACGCTTCGAGTGATTTTCTTTGATCTACTCACCTTCTGCAGTGGGTAATCGCTTAGCTTCTATAGCTCGCTTTATTTTTCGCTAGACAAAGCAACATTGTGTCAGCGACCATATTCATTTTTCGCTAGACAAAGCAACATCGTCAGCGACCATCTTTATTTTTCGCTAGACAAAGCAACATTGTGTCAGCAACCATATTTATTTTTCGCTAGACAAAGCAACATTGTGTCAGCAATTATTTTTATTTATTTGTAAGTCTTTGGCTTAGACATTTTGACATGTTGTTCGTTAACACAGAGGAACTTTTCATTTTTACGGTACTAGGCCTAAAATGGAATCCTACGACTGACTTCTTTTCTCATGCTTCTCGTCCCTTTGACAAACCCTGTACAAAGCGGGCTATTCGTTCGTAAATCAGTCGTATTTTTGTCGCTATCCTCTTGTTTTTATTCCTTTTCCATGTCTTTTTGCTAGTCAAACGTCTTCTACAACCGTTGTGGTACTTTGATGTAGTCTGGGATGATGGAACATCTGAACAGATACATCTGACCTCTGTATTTTGTATGTGTTACATTTCTGGTGTTAGTTCTATACACGAACATCTATCGCAGGATCGGAACTCTTGGCAGCTATACGGCTGACTGATCTAGTCACATTTGTCAACGAGTCTAGTCCAATTTTCATGCTCGCTCTGTCTCGACAAGATTGGAACTCTTGGCAGACATAGTGCTGGCTGATCAAGTCACCTTTGTCATAGGGTTTTCCTTCCGATCCTCCGTTATTTGATCTGACTCTACGCTTGCGCTCTCTTGAGCTAATTTTTCAACCCATAAATTGTCAATCGTATTAAACACATACAAGAACTGATACCACACTCTACTCGGCATTATATGCCTTCTAATCAACACCTCTCTGATTGTATTAGTCGTGTTTTATCACCGGCACAATTATTACAATTTTCACCAAACTGGCATTTTCCTACCGTGGATCTCGTTGAAATATCATTACTTCCCGGCTGTCATTGCAGACTTGAAATGCGACACCACGTCGAGATTTCGACGCTGTTCTTCTTCTTGTTTTTTTTGCGCACTCCACGGAATTCTTATAGGAAAAGGGGCCAACGCTATTGTGTTTGACACAATCTTTTAGTTTAGCCGATCGAAAAATTCTACCGATTCGACGCTATTCTTTTCTAATTGATGACATTGTACGCGTTGTTAATCTGAGTACAGTTTCAGATGGCATCCAACAATGTTCTGTGGTCAAAATATGACCGCCGCTTATTTGTTAGTTTATATTTTATTCTTGCTTAGTTCTTATTTAGTATATCTAGCTTCTCATGTCTATTCTTTATACTTATACTTTTAGCTGTTCTTAAAAACATTCGTTTTTGGAGCGGGAGAATGTTTGAGAAAGTATTTGCGCATTCATTTTATATTTTTACAGTTAATATTTTTGCTGTTACGGTACTGTAATATGATCTAATTTGGTGCTGTATTTTAAAAGACCTTTTTGAAATATATTGTTTCCTGTTGTCTCATAAAACTTAAACTGGATATCTCATTTATGATGTTGTGAATACGGAGAATTTGGCTTCTCTTTTGTATGGTTCAAAAATATACACACAAGTGTCGTGTTACCGTCACAATTAGCTAAAATTATCGGAAAGGTCGCAATACAATGGAATGATTTATTGGTACACCCTCTGGGACCACCGCTTAGGAGAGGGTTTCTTCATAGCTCTGACCATATCAACGCATTCTCAACAGCCACTTCTTCGTCAGACAACGATCGATCGACACGCATATAGTTCCGGACGGTTCTCGTGCTAAGCCTCGGGACGGCGACGCCAGCGTCGGTACCACCGACCGACCCATCAGCCTGGTACGAATTCATCAATAGAACCAAAGGGTAAGTCTATTCTTGTATAAAACATTGATAATGAGTAAACCAGTTTATTTCTAATTTATTTCTACTTTTACAATTTATAATCGCTATTTTCACCAATTTTATGTATCCACAATATCGCATTTTTTCGTTATAATTATTTATTCAATATAATTTAAACCAGCGACTTCTCAAGTTTAATTATTAAACAATGAAATCTTTCTACCGGGGAATTGGATTCGTGATGATATGGAGTAGTAAAATGTATTTTATTTGATGCGTTTTTAGTAATTCATCTAAAACGTCATTTTTGAATTCTCCATCACTGTCTGCAACAATTTGTTTCGGTATACCGAAAAATGAAAAGAAATGGACTAATTGTTGACACGCTGATATCGCTTCCAAATTATGCTAACGCTATTGCCAACTTTACAAGTATCTATATGTATTATCTCAAAAAACATGGAGGGTGTATGGGTTAATATTAAAGGTTCTTTATGTGGATTTTATATTATATTTTGATCTCTGATATATTTCACATTTATTTATATATTTTTCTATATCCTTTTTCATTGATTTCCAGTCATAATTTATTTTTAAAGATCTATGAGTCTCTGAAATTCCTCGATGATTCGTTTTGCCGTCGTGTTTATATTTTATTAGTTGATTTCTTTCTTCTGGTAATACATTGTTAACTAATTTTGTACATTCAATCAATTTTAATTTTGTAAAATATTTACGCATACATTCTGAAATATTTGTCGTAATTCTTGAGATAAGAAATAAATGTATTGTAACGAGATTAAATAAATCCAGCGGTTCTTAATTTATATAAATATATTTATTTATAAGTTTACAGCACGAAAATATCATATCAACTAAACTACCTCAGTCATTGTTATGTACTAGAATATTCTGGAGCAGCCCACCTCTAATTCGTCTCATCGAAGACGTCCGCTATTGAAATGCCAACTGTTGAGTTTTCTAGATTTATTCTCCTCAGAATTGTGACACATACCACGCATCGGAGATGGGCTATTTCGTTACACTGCTCCCCTCATCAAGATCCAACTCATCAAGAAGATATAACAATCTACAGACTTTGAAGGACACGATCTCTTCGGGTTAATACAACACGCAGTAATTCGTACGCCGGTTTCTCGGAAGGTCACTTCAAGCATGCTTCTGTCAATCTTCCAATCTAGATTTTCTAGCGTATGGCCTATCTTGGGTAAGGCCAAATTCTTGATGTCATAATTGTCACCATATACAGAAAAGATCGAGGACCATATTCTAATCTCAGTACTCTTCCAACTTTAGGCTGGTGATTTTTTAACTCGTCCAAACGACCGAACTTCTTATAAAATACGGATGAGATTCCTTTAGTCGTATCAAGATCTTAGACAACACAGTTGGCTAGACAGACGTTATGTGGAACACTAAAAAGATCCTGCTGAACTTCTGTGGTCACGCCGAATCTAGCACTCTTTCTCTCTGCTTAATTTGACATAAATTCATTAAAGCTTGGTCGCCAGTCATCTTTGATATCATGTTGAAGGGTTCGTGCTTCTTCTGTTTCATTTAAGCCAGCATAAGGTGCAAGACGATTTGTGAACTACTTTTGGTTTACCTTTCGGCAACTTTTTAATTCGGTATATTTCGTCATTTATTCTCTTTTTAATTTCATACGGACCTTCCCATTGTCTTTGCAATTTAGGAGTGTTCAGAAATGTAAAATAATGAGAATTATTTAAATTTGCCGCGCATTTGTAGACGGGGCCTTAGCTGTATTGGCGGTTGACACTTCATGTCTTGCCGAAAAAGAGAAGAGTCGCCACCCGCCAGCCGAGAGTGACAGTCGGTCGAAAAAATAGGTTAACAGATGGCATGTCGATATAGTCGATATTATTTTGTTATAAGAGTTTGGATAATAAATTTGGTATCTGTGCACATATCCTTTAATTTTTACTAGAGATACAGTCCACTAGCGAAGTTAAACCAGCGCACCAGTTACAAGGGCGAACAGAATCATTCAAGAAAACAAGAATGGTCTAACCTACGCCAACATAAAACATTTGATCATTCTCGCCGAATGTTTTTACATTACTGAGGTGCCAGAGGTGACCTATTTATTGCAAGCAAACATCAAACAAGCAGCAAGTTGCCGACAAGGTTCAAGGATTTCAAGTTTTTTTATCAACTACCACTGTTTTTTACGAGTTCAACCACAAGGCGAAGCCGGTTTCATTTCCTGACAGCGAGGATTAGGATGTCGTCTTCACAGGTTGAAGTACTAAAGATTTGGTATTGTAAGTAGTCATTTAAATTTGTTTGGATTTATTCAGTTGGTTGAGTGGTTTGGCATTTTTTATTCTTGATTGTACATTTACATGATGGAAGACACAGTTAATCCAGAATTACCACATATGCCAACTCAAATAGCATTAGAAAGTCAAATTGCTAGATTTACAATTAGAAAAAACGCAGAAATTAGTAAATTAGATTTGTAGATTTTTTTCAGTCAGTGAGATTAGAAAAAACATCTGAAACTGAAACAATTCAGTTACAAACTGGATTGGATCAATGACAATTTGACATTAAATGAAATGTATTAAATGAATTTTTAGCTTTACAATTAGAGTTACAATGTTTAGATGCTCAAAGCTTTGATGAATCAGAAACATTAACTTTTGAAAATACATATTACAGGGTGATTTCGGAAGCCAAAGAATATTTATCAAAACAAGGTGGGTCAAAAAAGTCACAATTAAACATGTCTGTAGTTAAAGGTCAATCAAATATTCGTTTACCAACTATAGAATTGCCAAAATTTACTGGTTTATTTGAGAGATGGTTAGAGTTTCGTGATTTGTTTCTATCATTAATTCACAATTCTGATCACATGGAACACATTCAAAAATTTCATTTTACGTGCATCACTAGAAGGTTCTGCTGCACAATGTATTCAATCCATAGCATTTGTAGCCGAAAATTATGAGTTAGCATGGAAAACACTATGTGACAGGTATGATGATAAATCATTAATTATTCACAATCATATAAAATCATTAGTGAACATAAAAGAATTAAAACCAGATATTTCAAGCTCCTATAGAGATATTGTAGATTTAATCTCAATAAAACTAGCATCATTAGAAAGTTTAGGCGTTAACAAAAGTCATTTGGCAGATTTATTAATTATATTTGTCTCTAGTAAATTTGATAATGATACTATTGATGAGTGGGAGAAACAAATAGTAAATACAGATTTTCCTAATCTGGAAGATTTTATTTCATTTTTATCAGATAGAGCAAATTTCATTGACAAGGTCAATAAACATAAAATCAAGCACAAGGTTTCATCTTTCAAACAGAAAGCGTTTGTGGTAAGTTCAGGTGGTCAACAGGATAAGCAGAATACATTATCTTGTTATTACTGCAAAAAACCTCATTTTTTATTTAAATGTAGTGAATTTTTGCAATTGCCAGTCAGTCAAAGGAGGCAACAAGTAAGTTTATTCAAGATTTGTGAGAATTGTTTTCGTCAAGGCACAGATTCGCATTCAGATCAAGTCAATATTTTAGCTCAAAGTTTTCAGAGCATAGGTTCACAAGCAGGTCAGTTTTATACTTCTGGTCAAGGTTCTCAGAGCAAAGAGTCAGCTACAGCTTATGGTAGTATATATTGTTCTTCAGCTCACAATCCTCAAAGTATAAATTTGGATTCAAGTCAAAACTGTCGACTTGAAGCAGATCCAACCTCATATTGTCAAAACAGACATACTAACATTACTGTACCAGTAGATACTCAGCTAAGGAGTACAGTCAGTAATGGGTTGCAAGTTTTAAATCAAGCTTCAGAATCAAATCAGGCAGCTAAACCAGATACAACAATCAAGAATTTTTGTAATCTTTCAACAAGTGGTCAGGTCTTATTAGCCACAGCTTTGGTACAAGTATTTGACAAGCATGGAAATCAGCATATTTGTACAGCACATTTAGATAATGCTTCAATGTCTAATTTCATATCAAAGGGTTTAGCAGATCGCCTAGGGATTACTCAACAAAGGGTTCAGTTGTCAGTATCAGGACTTGCACAGAATCAGTCTGTGATTCAATCCTCTTGTAATGTAACACTTAAGTCTCTCAGTAATCAGTTTTCATGTTCTCTTCAGTGTTGAGTTATTCAACAAATAACAGATGATTTGCCTAATAGGTATTTTTCTAAATATTCATTACCGATTCCCAACAATATTACACTAGCAGATGATAGGTTCAATGAACCCAAAAATATAGATATCCTCATTGGTGCAGATTCTTATTGGAATCTCATATGTACAGGTACCATTCACTTAGGAAAACATCTACCAGTGCTACAAAAAACAGTTTTAGGGTGGATAATTTCAGGTCCACTTGGATTATCTAAATTAACTTCAAATAATAGCAAATGGCATTTTACGAAAGTCACCGATTTAGAATCACAGGTCGCAAGGTTTTGGGAATTAGATACCTTTCCGGACAACAAGCAGTTGTCAAATGAAGAACAGCAAGTGGAAGAACATTTCATAAACACAGTTCAACGTGATACATCAGGTCGATTCATTGTATCAGTTCCGTTAAAGGAACCAATATCAAGGTTAGGGAACTCAAAGGACATAGCAATGAAACAGTTTTACAGTTTAGAGAGAGATCTAGCAGTCAACCCCCAACTAAAGAAGTTGTATTCAGACTTCATGAAAGAATATGAAGAATTAAACCACATGACATGGTTTACTCCTAGTGATACTCAAATTACCTATTATTCACCACACCATGGTGTTTTAAAGGAAGAAAGTGAAACTACCAAGCTTCGTGTTGTTTTCAATAGTTCCGCATTGTCAGGACATTCATATAATTCCATTGAAATGGTAGGTCCAGTAGTTCAAGATGAATTGTATTCAATTATGTTAAGGTTTAGACAACATAACATAGTAATTTGTGCAGACATTTGTAAAATGTACAGACAAGTGATGGTACACAAAAGGTTCCATCCGTTGCAATTAATTGTTTGGAGAAACAATCCTTTTCGATTACCCTAACGAAATCGAAAAGATCCTAACTGCTACAGAGGATTGAGTGTCCTACCTACTTTCGGCAGATTGTTTGGAAAGATAATAAATAGAAAAATACAAGATGATGTAGGACATCTAATTAGCGAAGACCAACGCGGATTTACGCCTGGTAGATCTTGCACTGATAACTTGTTTATACTCCAACAATTAATAGAAAAAAGAATAGCGGTTGGTAACGAAGTACATCTAGCCTTCATCGATCTAGAAAAAGCGTATGATACAGTATCAAGGCCTATATTGTGGCAAGCTTTACAACAACTCGGCATTAGTCCACACCTTTTAGGAATAATCACAGAAGTATACAGGGATAACACCACTTACCTAAAAATCGGAAATAGACTATCAGACCCGATAAAAGTAACTAAAGGACTGAGACAAGGATGCAGTATGTCACCTTTACTGTTTAATTTATATATTGAGGCAGCCCTTCAAAATTGGAAAAACCACTGCCAGGGAATGGGAATCCCAATAGGAAATGACGTACTGTTCTCCCTGAACTTTGCGGATGACCAAGTCGTTCTAGCTCACGATTCTTATGATCTAGAATTTATGATAAAGCGTCTATACAGAGAATATGTAAAATGGGGGTTAAAAGTCAGCATGAAGAAAACGGAATATCTAGTTATCAATTCAGATGCAAGGTTTGAAGTGTTGATAGACGAGGACGTGGAAATCACACAAGTATAAAAATTTAAATATTTAGGTGCATTCATTGATAAGAACGGCTTGGGTGAAACCGAAATTAAACACCGAATTAATCAGGGACGTAAAATTGTAGGATGTTTGAACTCCTTATGGTGGGATCGTAACATTTCCAAAAGGAACAAAAAAAGAATAGGGCAAACGATGGTTGAATCAGTTCTTTGTTATTGCTCAAGTATGGACAATTAATGCAGACCTGAAAAGAAGATTGTTGGCAGTTGAAATGGATTATTTGAGAAGAAGTGCTAGAACATCAAGGCTGGAAAGGAAAACCAACGAATCTATAAGAAATTGGATGAATGCTACAGATACGGTCATAGACAGAATAGAAAGAAGAGGTTTAAAATGGTTTGCTGATAAGAATGCCTGACGAACGTTGGCCCCAAAAACTTCACAGATGGAAGCCCCCTGGTAGAAGAAAAAGAGGTAGACCTCGACGCTCATGGAATGAAGGTATTAGAAGAGCAATGGAATCGAGAGGTTTGGAGGAGGAGCATGCCTTGGACCGAGAGGATTGGCGGAGGAGGATGGGAATACGGCGATAGCCGTCTCCAAGATGTATTCTATTTACAAATTGGATCCTGTAATATATATAGAAACAATCCTAACGAAGAACTGCAGACATATGCGCTCAACAGAGTAGTGTATGGTATTGCAAGTGGTCCATATTTGGCCACGAGATGTCTGGTCCAGTTAGGTATCGAAAATGAAAAATCCTATCCAGAAGCAGCTCGAGTCATAAAGAATGATTTCTTTGTAGATGATTTAATTACAGGTTCAGATTCAGTCAATCAAGGAATCATATTGTGCCAACAAATAGATGACATATTAAAATCAGGAGGATTTCCTCTCAGAAAATGTAAATCAAACAATTTCGAGGTATTCACAAATATTCAGCATACACAAGAATTTGATGAATTTTATTTTGGCTCTTCAGAAACGTCAAAGGTGTTAGGGCTTTATTGGTCAGCAAACAAGGATGGCTTTTCTATGAAGATAGCGTTACCCCAAGTTACAAAATTCACTAAACGACTTTTCCGAAATAGCAAAGGTCTTTGATCCATTAGGTTTAATTAGTCCTTTATTTATTAAAGCAAAAATATTGCTTCAATCGCTTTGGTCTTTACATTTATCTTGGGATCAAGAGGTTCCACTAGACATTCGCAATAAATGGATTTCTATAAGAACAGATCTCAAAGAACTGAGCTCACTTCAAATTCCTAGACATGTTTGTATGGATCGAGTACATGTTGAAATTCATGGGTTTGCTGATGCGTCTCAGTCTGCCTATGGTGCATGTATCTATGTACGGTCCACTGATTCAAATAACACTATTCAAACTAGTTTACTTACGTCCAAAACAAGGGTTGCACCATTAAAAGCCATCAGCATTCCAAGGTTGGAATTATGTGCTGCGCTCTTGTTAGCAGAATTATTTCAGAAAGTTGTTAAATCGTTAACAATCTCAATTGATGATTACTATCTGTGGAGCGACTCCACAGTTACACTAGCATGGATTAAAACTTCTCATATGTTACAAGTTTCTGTGGGGAATCGTATAGCTCAAATTCAATCTCTCACAAATGTAGATAAATGTAGATATGTACCCACAGCACCAAATGCAGCTGATATTCTTACACGAGGTATGACTTCAGCTAATTTACTTCAGAATTCACATTGGTTTAGTGGACCACCCTGGTTAAAATAAGCTCCAGATAAGTGGCCAAAAGATATATCTAATCTTAGTCCCATCTCAGCAGATACTCTTCTTGAAGTTCGAAAAATCTACACATTTCTTCAGAGACAACCAGTTCATTGATTTCCATTTGAAAAATTTTCTAGCTTACAAAAACTTCAGCGTGTAACAGCTTATTGTTTAAGGTTTATTTCTAATTGCAGAAAACCTAAACAAGAAAGAGTTCAAGGTGATCTCTCCTTAACCGAAATGAATCAATCACTAGATATGTTAATATTACTTGTACATCGGGAAGTCTTTTCGACTGAAATCGATGATCTGTTAAAACTAGGTAGGGTCGACAGGAAGAGTCGACTTCTAAGTTTGCCACCATTTCTTCAAAAGGGCATCATTCTTGTCGGTGGAAGACTACAAAATTCTTCTTTTCCATTCGATAAGTGTCATCCAATAATTCTTCCTTCAAATCACAAATTAACTTACCTTATTTGTCACAAATTTCATCAACAATTAGGTCACGCAGGACCGCAGTTAATGTTATTCGCGAAAAATACTGGCCCATATCAGGTAGAAATTTAGTAAGAAAAATTGTCAGAGAATGTGTTACATGTTTTCGATGTAAACCGACAATTTGTACACCATTAATGGGTTAATTACCATAATCACGAGTTTCTCAAACTTTTCCTTTTAATCATACAGGAGTTGACTATGCAGGTCCATTCATGATAAAGGATCGTGGTTGCAAGGTTTTTAAAAGCTATATTTGTCTTTTTGTTTGTATGGCAACAAAGGCAGTACATTTAGAGGTAGCCACTGAACTGACCACATCCGCATTTGTAGAAGTATTACAGCGCTTTATTGCTCGCCGAGGCAAACCATCTGCCATCTACAGTGATAATGGCAGTAACTTCGTTGGAGCGAACAATAAATTGAAAGATCTTAGTTCTTTTCTTAAACGCAACCAATCTACTTTACAAACGGAATTGGGTGTTAATCAGGGAATCAATTGGCATTTTATACCAGCTTACTCTCCGCATCAAGGTGGACTGTGGGAGGCCGGGGTTAAAAGTGTTAAGCATCATATAATTAGAATTATGTCCAATCGTTTGCTTACTTTCGAAAGTTTTTATACAATTGTAACGCAAATTGAAGGAATTTTGAATGTTCGACCACTCACACCTCTTTCCTCAGATCCAAACGATTTCAATGTACTTACGCCCGCACATTTCCTTATTGGTAGTCTGATAAATTTCATACCATACCCAAATGTTGAAGCTGTTTCAAAGACGATGCTGTCCCATTTTGAGCAACTTGAATAAGTGTAAACAACACTTTTGGACTCGTTGGTCAAGAGAGTACATCAATGAGCTACAACAACGCACTAAGTGGAAAACTAATGCAGCTAGTGTCAAGGAGGGAGCTATGGTCATAATTAAAGATGACAACTTGCCTTCGTACAAGTGGAATCTAGGACGGACCGTCAAGTTACACCCTGGAAAGGACAATATAGTGTGAGTGGTATCGATTAAAACTGTTAATGGAATTTACAAACGGGCCGTGGCAAAAATTTGTCTATTGCCAATCGAGACGGACAATGTTTTTTTGTAACATGATTGTATTTTAATGTTTATTTGATTTATAATGTTATATATATTTTTTATTTTTGCATAGTTCATATTTGTTGAAAGATTGTCTTTCAAGGCTGGGGGATTGTTCAGAAATGTAAAATAATGAGAATTATTTAAATTTGCCGGGCATTTAAATATTATAGTCGATATTATTTTGTTATAAGAGTTTGGATAATAAATTTGGTATCTGTGCACATATCCTTTAATTTTTACTAGAGATACAGTCCACTAGCGAAGTTAAACCAGCGCACTAGTTACAAGGCGAACAGAATCATTCAAGAAAATAAGAATGGTCTAACCTACGCCAACATAAAACAAGGAGACAAGCCTCGACGACGTTGTTGATTATAAAGCCAAACAAGATCACTTCATAGCTTTCATTCTTGCATCGAGAATCATATTGTTCTTTCATTCTGTCACTGGCTAACTGGATGTGTTGTCGGGCAAGTTCATGAATGTTTTTCATTCTTTACTTCAGGCGGTCGACATAATCTTCACTTGCAACATATTCTTCGGAAGGTCTGCAGCCAAACTCTAGGTAGCAGGACAAACGAACTTGACGACATAAAATCAGGCAGGTTGGAGTCTGGCCTGTAGTTTCATTTACGGCCGAGCGGTAGGCCATTAGGAATAAATAAATGTGCTGATCCCAATCTCTTTGATGTTCTGATACAACTTTGGACAGGTGTTTACCCATCGTTCGGTTTATCCTCCCGACCAGTCCATCTGATTGAGGATGCAGGGTTGTCGTTCTGGTCTTATTGACACCAATCAATTTACAAACGTTTTGGAAAAGGATAGACTCGGAAGTTTCGCCCTTGGTCGGAGTAGATCTCCAAGGGAACACCAAAGGACTATCAACATTATACTGTTTTATGGGTGCCCTTTTTTTTACCAACTTGACCATTACTGGTTGCACACAGTTCACATTTCCGGCACCATCTTACATCATCTTTACAGTTCACCCAATAGAACCGTTCTCGAACCTTTTGTAGAGCCTTCGTAATACCAAAGTGTCCATCTGATGCACCGTCATGCAACTGACGCAATGCTTCTGACACTTTACTTTTAGGTACAGTCAACACTTGACTTGTGGACTACATGCACTAATGTCTTGCCAAGAAGGTCTTTCACTACGACGCATCCAATCCAATACTCTTTTTATACATGGATCATCTGCTTGAGCGTCTTGTAGCTGTGAGGCTGCCATTGATCGTTAATGACGGTGGTTCGTCTCACGGGGCAAAGTCGTTCTTCTAATTTAAGACAGTGATTACAATTTGCACTACACGGTAGCCTCGAAAGAGCATCAGCATTTAAGTGAACTCTTCCAGCTCTGTGTTCAATCTCGTAATCATATTCTTGTAATCGTT